CCGGTCTCTGTGCTTTTGTCCACCGGTTGAAACGTGAGAAAGAGCGTTGTGTGGATACAGTCCTGACAAACGAGAGGAGAGACACGCAGCCTGGAGGGTGAGCAAACACACGGCGCCGAGGCTAACTAGGTCAGGTGGTGCGTTCGCTGACTGTAGGCCAGAACGCCGACGAAGTGAAACAAAAGGCGGAGAGTGGAGGAGGAGAAACGTCTCGACTCCACCTGTTCGGCTGGACTTCATGGGAACACCTGTGAGGGACGCTTTTATTCCAATCAGTCATCATACATCAGTTATAAACTCAATGAGCAGCAGGGATACGGTTTCTTCTATTATTCTTACTGTTTTTATCCAACGGGTTAGGGTTAGGGTTAGGTATCAAAAAGGAAACTAAGATTAAGAGCCCAAACATCCACCACGACTTCCTGTTCACACATCCCGGCTCCTCTGGCTCTCAGTTTCTGTCGTACTGGTGTTAATTACCTGCCATTTACTGCCTTCAAGTCTGTAAAACTCTCTGAGGGAAACCCTGTTTCTGTGTTTCCTGCTGTGGAGAAAATGAAGCGAGCGGCCTGATCTCGGCTGGATCTCGACAACTCACTTACATAACGACAACACAAACGCACAGCAGGGACGGCGGCCTCTCTCCGGTTGCGTAACGCGACACGAATCTGAGCGACACGTCCAGATGTGCGCCAGAGGGGCAGAGTAAAGAGGCTGGCAGTGCGAGAGCTGCTGCTGCTGCTGTTTTGGGTTATTTCCAGCACGAAAGCAGGCTGGATGAGTCACCGTGCGCCAGTGAAATCAGCGAGTCACCGAGCACTGTCACACTCACATGCTGGTCCTAATGTAGTTTATGATAGAGAGTTATTCTACAAAACCTCCCGTTGATCGAAGTAGATGTTCATCTAATAGCGTGAGAGTCTATTTGAGCAGCACTGCTTGACAATTTCTGGGTGGTAAGGTCAGAAATCCTGTTAGAAAACGCACAATGTCGACCTTTAAAAGCTGCGTGTAAACAGAACGGAGTCCGGCGTGTTTTTAAATCAAATTCTGTCACGTTTTTCCTCTTCTTCACCTTCACCTTCACCTTCTTCTTCTTCAGCTAACACACAAACAGAGCAGCTCCCAGTTTGACACATCACGGGACTCAGAGGAATGAGCAGAAATTGACTAATCAAATAAAAAAGGGAGTGGAAAGGTTTCAGTTTCGGTCTCTAGACGCCAAAATCGTACTTAGTTACACTCGATTCGACATTCTGCCACCCAGATATTAATGTTTAATGCAAATGTGTCTTTAATAACTAATAATCGGTGTCTACAAAACCATTCTGGGTGGATCGCTTCTGAATTACCGGAAAATGACACCGACACACGGTATGTAAAAGCTTTAAAGGACAGCGTTGTAACTCAGCAGTTTGTCGTTATTAAGGATATCTGCCCACAGACGCCGGCATCGATCAATAAATCAATACTGAGCGGTGTATTGTTTCATCTCTGTGCTAGTTTCACCTGCTGTGTTTGAATATTCCTCCAGAAAAAAGCAGATATTTCAACTTTTTTGGGGGATTTTTTTGAACGTCAGAACAACGACAGAAGAGAAACAGGTTTGGTTGTTTTGATTGATTGTAGTTTTTTATCGATCACAGATGGATTATGGAGATTTCTTAAGACAAAATCCTCTCAAACTCAGGGCGTCTGTGGTCCAACGCTCAGATTTAGCCACATTCAACAGCCCGTCAGAGTCCGAGGAAGCACTGAAGGTAATTTAGAAATCATCCAGCGTTCCCTCTCTTTTTAAGAAATCGTTTTCCAGGAGATTGACTACAGTTCTGCTCAAACTCCTCCACTTAAAATCAAGTAGAATTCACTTTGTGTCACAGATCTTCTAGAAAGCTAAAAGTGTGAAAACCAACAACAACAACAACACAGCTCATTTAGAGACCGTACGACCGTCTGCAGGTTTTCCAGGACGAGTGG